TCCATCCGGATATCCCGATCGGCCTCAATGCCCCCGACGTCGCACAGTGGACCGAGTCAATTAGAAGGGTCGGACATGAAATTATTGACTAAAATTGCACATTTTGTTGTTTTTTTCGTCACATTTCAAATTTTAATGGGTGTCTATGTAAGAAAATTGCAAGAGGAAACCAATGGACTCACTTTTAGAACCTCGAAGTTTTGTTTATAAACAGAGTTATAAGCATTTAAAGTTTCCAAATTTTGCCCGACCTCTCCTATTGACTCGATCCACTGTGCGTCGGCGCACAAGTCTTCGTTTCCCTCGCGAAAGAACGTAACTACATTTTAATGTTGCCAAATTTCCCCGCGCAAATTGCTTTTTTACGCGGAGAATGTTCGGAATTTCTAGCAGAAAATTTCACCGATTTTTTCGGTGCTCTTTTGCAGAAGTATAGATAAATTTTGGGCAAAAATCACACCGGCATATTTCTGCATCATATTCGATTTTTCGAGTCAGTTTTGCAACCTTGGAATGGAGTTACGTTCCTTCGCCAGGGAGGCGACGGGTTTTTCGGTCGGCGGTCGCGTGGGTGGAAATACCACGTATCTCGATTACGGTGTTTCAAGATATCGTCCCCTGATTCGATTTTTTAATCAAGAACAAATCAACGTGATTACTCAAACTTTTTATCAAAATTTTCTATACAGAGAGATGAAAAATCACACAGGTTTTTTAAGAAACTTTGTTGGATAGCTCTCTACTAAAAATGAAGTGTAGACAGAAATTTAGCAGTGCCAGTAAACCGAGACGCACGTGGTTTGGAAATGCCTTTTAAAAACGTCAATATTGGAAGTAGGTAAATGGATCGTGTTTTTGCATAAGAGCGGAAATCTATCGCAATAGTTTTAAATAGATCACTCGAAAGGGTAAAGAAATATTCTTTTAAAAAATAGTGATTTTTAGTGAGAAATTGTTTTCTACTGGCGACTTCAACGTTAATTTGAAATATTCTATTTCTGAGTTTTGCTCAGACCACCAATTACCTAAGACTTCAGTCATCCGATTTTATTAAAATTGAGTTTTTGTCCCAAAAACTAGTCAGCCGATACGAAGAAAACCTATTTTTAAGACAATTTTGATAAATGCGTTTTTTTTAAACAGAGGACATTCAATTAAATGACGTGCTATGGAGAATTGGCCAAGCTTTTCTTTTTTGGTTTCGAAAAGAGCCTAAAATGGCATATGTCTAATCTTTTTTGGTGGTTTTAAAAATTTTGGTCTCCCCACAAATCGTCGGATAATCGGGGCATTACTGTACACGTACCTCACGAAATTTTTAGTCAGAATGTTGCTAATTGTTAATTAGTTTTCTGGTCAAAAAAAATAAAACACGATAAGAAATCAGGCAACGTCTGATATAGATGCACATTTCACAAGGAGATTGAGCCGGTCTCACGAAAAAAAACGTTGGAAAAAAGGACACTAGAGCTTGTGAGCTACCGACACCTAAAGGCTAAGATAATTGAGCACTAGCTGTTGATGACGTCTTTTTCGACATCCGCTCCCCGCGTGGAAAATCGTCCTCCTTTCGAATGATTAATCATCTGAAATTCTCGCTTTGAAGATGGCATTTCACGGGTGAATACCGGCTCCAGAGGAGACAGCCTTGCCGGATTTTGCTAAAAACATCGCACACCGTTCCTAAGTTTCAAGGGATTAAAATGAATGTTTCATGCACGATTTGGCATCCCAGGATCATCCTGAAAAGAGGGAGCACTCTCAATGACGTTCCCTTCAATTTCAAGCTTCCCCCTTCATTACCTCATATTTAAAGCAAGTGTTTCGTGCGTCGAGTGGGCGCTTTGTGTCAAGCACGTGCGGGTGTCTTTTCTTTTGTTTTTGCGAACCTTTTTGAAACATTTTTATTCAACTTAACCGAGCTCTTTTATAAACTGAAATGCCGATACGCTGGATGACTGCGCTCTTACGTTTATTGACGATGATACTGGAGAACCTTGCATGCCTTTCTGGTATCCAAACGCACTTTTGCTCAAATTTTTCGATTAAAAAAAACAGAAGGCAAATATTTGAGCGTTTAACAGTAGAAAAACAAGGGGAAGTGGCGGGAAACAAGGCTAAAATACAAAATTAATAGAAACCGAGACCTTTCGACTCGAAACTGAGTCATTTTCAATCGGAAATTAAATAAAAATTTTAAAAAAACGATGAAAACCTGAGCCCTACATGGTGGTGGCCGGGATCTGAGAAAAATGATCCATGTACTTAGGGCTCAGGTTTTCATCGTTTTTTTTTTAAAAAAAATTTTATTGTATTTCCGCCTGAAAATGACTCAGTTTTGAGTCGGAACGTCTCGGTTTTTATTGATTGTGTACTTTAATGCGTTTAATAGATCCATCTACTAGATTAAAGGACTTGCGTGTTTCGGAGTTTTAAACAAGCATTTTGAGGAATTCGTCAAGGAACCAATTTTTCAAAATTCTTGGAACACAAATCTCCGAAACACGGCAATGCCGCAATTTAGGAAAGACGTCTCTACGAAGGTAGGCGCTCAAGTGCAAACTGATAGAGACGTTTTAGTATCGTAGGTGAAAAATTATGTTGACGTTTTAGTATCGTAGGTGAAAAATTATGTTATTTTTAGATTGCGCCCCTGAGATCTTTGTTGTGATTGATTTTTTATTTACCATTAATTCATCAGTGTGTTCATTCTCATCATATGATCAGATATGAAAGAAATCTGATCGACGAAAATTCATTCTTCGTTAATTTTTACTTTTCGTTTTGTTACAGGTTATAGATGTTTCAAAACGGTGATGTTCCTAACTGGTTTTATTTTTGGATCAGTCCTTCTTTACTTGATTTGTATTCAAGAGGCTGTATTTTCAACTTATGGAAATATTTGTAAGTATAAATTCTTATTTCGTCGAATTTTGGGAAAGATTATAATGGCGGAAACTCGCATGCTTTCAGAGAGTTGAAATCATGTGACAATTTTACAAATTTAGTCAATACTTTCTATCCTTTTTTTCACGCTCAATTCAGATCTGCCGCAGTGACGATTATCGCCAGTCTGTAATACAATTTTTTCTCCGTTTAAGTCTACCGTAAACAATCCATTCAAGGTGGGGAAACCCACCCCAACGGATTGATTATTAATGTACATTTAATAGTTGAACATTCATCGGTGTTTCTATGTGAGACCTGTCACTAATCTACGGCCCGCTACGCTGCCGTGCTAAGGAAAAACGCCGTATGAACATTTAAGAGTTGCCAAATTTCTCTGAATAAAACATGTATTTTTCAGGGAGGTCATGCTTATTTTTCCTTGAAATTTTCTGATATTTTAGATTAAATTACGGGCAAAAATGTCTAAAAATTGTAAAAAAAATTGTGAAAAAAATGTTAACTTCATGTTTTATTGAAGGAAATATGGCAACGTCTGTAGGGTCAAACGGCGTTCTTCCTTAGCACGACAGTACGGGTTTGAAATGCTTGAGGAGGAGCTTTGACTTGTTAAACATAGTCAAAGCGCCTTCAAACGTCTTTGATGCAACATGTTATACTCGAGAGAACCTCTCCGTCTCCATCAACTTCAGATGAACCAAACATCTTCTGGAGCAGTTTACTAGGTTTTTAAAGACTGGCGAGTGGCGATACACACACTCTCTCTCCATTTTAGCAGAGTATCACCTTATTTTTTGTACTTAATTGTCGAATCGGTGTTTACTAGTCGCAAGTAAAATGCTGATTTCATTAAATTAGGGATGTGCTTTTGAACCGAAGCAAAAGTGGATCGATTTAAGCAAAACAGTCACATCTGCATTGCGGTGTTTTAATATCACATTCCCTATTTAATTTTTTGGAAAGGAAACCAGCCAACACTTTCGCTCCAAATTTTGTGGAAATACCCTTCAGATGGGCCAAAAAATTGCAATTTTGAGAAGGGATGTTGGTTGGTTCCAAAATACCGCAAATGCAAGTACCGTCGATGTGACTGTTGTGCTTAACTCCTTCCAATTGTTACGAAAATAAACAAACAAAATGTCCATTCTTTGACAAAATGTGACAGCATTAAAATTCTACATTCCGATTGCATATTAATTTGTATAACTTGAATACTTGAATACTTCGGCATCTCTATACCACCCCTTGGATGACGTACTTGATGAACTTATCGTACTGCGAAACATGGAAATTTCACTAAAATTTGGAAGCGTAAAATACGATGAGACGGCGATGGTCACAGTGAACAGACTCAGAACTTAACAAAGCATACGATGCTACATTGGTATAGATTCACAGAGCATGTAATGTGCATCTAACAGTTTAGAGTCTACTATACTCATCATTTCAAGATCATTCCATCGTGAATCACCGACTCGTACGAGAAGATTTAAAGCCGATTTAAAGCCGTACCATGCGATAAATTGTTCATTTGGAATACTAATTTTCGGATGTATTTCGGAGCTTTCACTTTATCATCAGCGTTCAAAATGCATCCGTAAAAAAACATATTCCACAATATTCCGTGGTCCTGGGTTTAAATCCTTTTCGTAATTCTGTCAAAAAACCACGCAGTTTGCGGCTCCGTAAATTATTATTGTGGCATTAATTTTTTTTCTTTTGATACCATGCATGGAGATGGAGAATTACAATCATTAAAAAAAATCCACACCAATGGTAAGCTATTTCGTTCAAACCAATCAATAAAAGGTTGCGTTCGGAATTGCTGCATTTTTCATGTCTTCATGGAAATCTGGAGCACGATCAGGGCGTGCTCGCCTTCATCTGGGTAGATATGCAATACGCATTCGTGAACGCAGAAGAAAAACGGGGTAAAAAAACACTAATGTGTGATCAATTTTCAAGGACAATTCTGTAATTTCTCCTACAATTTTAAATAGATTAAAACGCGTAATTTCCAAAATCTAAGCTCAGATTCGGATTTCCCGTGAAAAATTGATGCGATTTCATGTATCATATGTTAAAATAGCGTGAAGGAAAGAGGTTTAATGACGTAAAAAAACCCTAATGTGTGATCAATTTTCAAGGACAATTCTGTAATTTCTCCTACGATTTTAAATAGATTAAAACGCGTAATATCCAAAATCTAAGCTCAGATTCAGATTTCTCGTGAAAAAATGATGAGATTTCATGTATCATATGTTATCATAGCGTTGAGGAAAGAGGTTAAACAACGCGTATGAATTCTGTCATACCACCCGTTTGAACTACGCCGCCGCGCCGCCGCGCCGCCGCGCCGGTCGCCGGAGATGCAACCGAACGGGGAGGCGCCGGCTGGCGCTAAGCATTCGGTTTCGTCCCGAGGAATTCCTCACGATAAATTCTTATTCTTCCTCCTCCGCTGACCCACTGAGCACTACCCATGTTGCCACGTTGCATTCATATGCTCGAATCAGTATGTCTACGTTACGTCTCTTTCCTTCACGCTATGCTCGGGTATGATACATGAAATTGCATCGATTTTTTACGAGGAATCCGAATCTGACCTTCGATTTTAGGTATCACGCCTTTTAAGTCAATTTTTTTAAATTCAAAAATCAGAAATGACGGACGTAGCCTAAAATGCCATTGCGGCTCCTGTTCAATGGATTTTTCTGAAATTCGGTGTCAGGGTATGATACATGAAATTGCATCGATTTTTTACGAGGAATACTAATCTGACCTTCGATTTTGGGTATCGCGCGTTTTAAATCAAAATTCAAAAAATTCAAAATTCGAAATGACTAAAGTGGCTTAAAATGATATCTCGGCTCCTGTTCGATGGATTTTTCTGAAATTCGGTGTCAGAAGGTACTTTTAGACGGGAAACTCGAATTTTTAGTCTATTTTTGAAAATTTTCAATTCGAAGATGGCGGACGTAGGCTAAAATGCCATCTCGGTTTCTGTTTGTTCGAGTCTTGTGAAACGCGGCAGTATATGGTATTTTTCAACGGGAAACTCGAATTATGTTAGTCAATTTTTTAAAATTCGTTACTCCAAGATGTTGGATGTGGCCTAAAATTCTATCTCGGTTTCTGTTCGTTATAGAGATTTGTGAACCGCGGGAGCAGGAGTACTTTTCGACAGGAAACTCGAATTTTTAGTCAAGTTTTAAAAATTCTCAAATCCAAGATGGCGGACGTAGCCTAAAATGCTATGTCAGCTCCTGTTCGATGGATTTTTCTGAAACTCGGTGTCGGAGGGTATTTTTTCGACGGGAAACTCGAATTTTTAGTCTATTTTTGAAAATTTTCAATTCCAAGATGGCGGACGTGGCCTAATATGCTATCTCAGTTTCTGTTCGTTCGAGTTCGGTGAAACTCGGTATCACGGGGTATTTTTCGACGGAAAACTCAAATTTCTAGTCAAATTTCTAAAATTCGCAAACCCAAGATGGCGGCCGTGGCCTAAAATGCTATCTCGGCTCCTGTCGGTTTTTGTGAAACTTAGAAAAAGGGGAAATCATTCCAGTCAAATCTTCAAAATTTGAAAATGATGATGGCTAGAAACCAGAGCATTGAATGGCGGGCTATGAAAAACTATTTTTCGCAGGAACAAAGTAACCCGCTTCCTCAAAAATAGCAACTTCACACTCATAAGTATAGTGAAGAAATTTTAAGCGAGGATATTTTTTAACTGACAGTAGGTTTTCCATGTGAACTTTTGATGAGGCGCTGGCAAATTATATTCAATTTGTGGCAGGCCCGCCACAAGGGGAGGGGGGGAGGATACTGGGTCCTTGGTACCGGGGCCCGAGCCCTGGAGGGGCCCGTGACGCAGGTGACAAACCACTACGAATTCATGTGTAACTCTTGTCTCGTAGGGAAAAGTGAAAAAATTACCCTAAAAATTCCGCAAAAGGCGAATAAAGTTTCAAAAACACGTTAGGGCACTATAATATTTTTCTTACATTTTTAGAGATTTCTTTCTATTTTCAAGATTTTAAGTAATATGTAGAATGATATTTTTAGTAACTACGTTTCATTTTCTTCCGTTGTCGGATGCTAAGAGCCTCTTGTCTGGGCATCCTCGACATCAATGGCTCAACTCCCTTGCCATAGACGTGCGAAAGGGGAGTCCAGGGGGGCCCGGCTCCCCCTAGAATAGAAAAGTATTAACTGCCCCCCCCCAAAAAAAAAAAAAAATTCTAGATGTTTTGAATGCAACAATTCGAAAGTATTTGGTGCTGAAAGTAAAAAAGGCGTAATTGTTCTACAGAAATTGATGGAAAATCTCCATCATAAGAGCTTCAAAACGTCCAAATAGATTTAAAATTTCAAAAATTTCTCGGGGGAGGCCCCCCGGACCCCCCTTTATGCTAGGGGCCCGGGCCAGAAAACTGGTACCAGGGCCCGAGATGGGATGTGGCGGGCCTGGGTAAGACAGTCTCAACAATGAGGCTCAAACAATATTAACCTGATCGGATTTTCATTATCAAACATTTCAAAATGACGTAATGTAAAAATTTGCCGCCATGCACTGAGGTTCTTAAAACCTATGCGAACAATCATTTTCTTGCCAAACTGATTCACTAGAACTGACTGAGTTACTCATTATTAAAAATATTATTAAAATGGGTGGCCCAGACCTACCGTACCAGGCCTTTTTTTCGGTTAATTTGGGTCGCACGAAGTCCAGGATCACGGGGATGAAAAGAGAATCGACCCCAAGGAATCCGAATTTCATGGTCCCAGAGCCCCCCTGGCGGCCCTTCGGGGATAAAAGGGGGGTCCGTACTTCAAAAGTCAGGGTTAATGTCAAAATTTTGAAATTATTCCATCGGAATCAGAACGTACAAAAATTTTTAACTTAAATCGACACCAAGAAATCCAAAATCGGCCATTCCGTGTCCAAAATACCGACCCCTAAAGGCGGGGGACAAAGCCCCCTTTCAAAAAAATTTAAGTTCGTCAAATTGACGCGGAGATTCGGAAAAAATATGTATTCATGGGTAATCGACCCCAAGGAATCCGAATTTGAGGGTTCCGTTGTCCACAGAGACTTTTCTGATGGGGCACAGGGGGACTCTGAACTTTTAAATTTAACCGGTCTGGAGGTTACCCGTGTGTCCCATCAGAAAAGTCTCTGTGGACAACGGGACTCTCAAATTCGGATTCCTTGGGGTCGATTACCCATGAATACACATTGTTTCCGAGTCTCCGCGTCAATTTGACGAACTTAAATTTTTTTGAAAGGGGTCTCTGTCCCCCGCTTTTAGGGGTCGGTATTTTGGACACGGATGGGCCGATTTTGGATTTCTTGGTGTCGTTTAAAGTTAAAAATTTACCGTACGTTCTGATTTCGATGAAATAATTTCAAAATTTTGACATAAACCCTGACTTTTGAAGTACGGACCCCCCTTTTATTCCCGAAGGGTCGCCAGGGGGGCTCTGGGACCATGAAATTCGGATTCCTTGGGGTCGATTCTCTTTTCATCCCCGTGATCCTGGACTTCGTGCGACCCAAATTAACCGGAAAAAAGGCCTGGTACGGTAGGTCTGGGCCACCCTGTATATTAAAAACTCACCAGTCAGAGGGAAATTTCTCTAAAATCCCCTTTTAAAATGTCAAAGGAGGTTTCAAAAGAAATTCCCCTCTGACTAGTGAATATTTAATGTATTTTAATAATATTTTTAATGTTTGACTCTAGTCAGGTACTTTTCAATACAAAGTGTTATTATTGATGAAGTAAAAAAAAATGCAATTAGGCAAATGAAACAGATTGATTCAATGTTAAAACCATTCAACTATTCGAGTTATACAAATTAATATGCAATCGGAATGTAGATTTTCAATGCTGTCACATTTCGTCGAAGAATGGACATGTAGAGCTCAGGTTTTCATCGTTTTTTTAAAAAAATGTATCATATTTTCGACTGAAAATGACTCAGTTTTGAGTCGAAACGTCTAGGTTTTTTTAAATTGTGTATTTTAGCCTTGTTTCCCGTTTTTCCTTGTTTTTCTACTGGTACTTTTCAACAAAGCTTTTTCAATTGATTATTAATTGGATTACGTTTTGCAATAAGGAACCACTATTTCTGCACCATTTTAGAAACAACATATATGCCACTGGTCTCCCTATGCAGTTATGTGCTTTTATGGGAGAGCCTGAGATAGTGGTTCCTTATTGCAAAATGTAGTCCAATTTGTATTCACTTAGACAAAAATAGTTTATTTCGATCTGTATTTTTTTCCAATCAGCAATCGCACTAACAGCTGGCTTGCTGTTTGGGTGCATCACGATGCTAGTGCAATACGTGGGCCTATTCGTGCTTGGACTCCACTCGGGAGTTCTATTGGCTGTGGCCGGTATCGCCATAGCAAGTCACACACCATACGCTTCCACCTCCACTTGGCTCAATGTTGGCATCCTCATGGGCTCGGCCATCCTCTTCGCTCTCCTCAATCTCCATTGGCCCAAAGGTGCGTTCAAACTCAAAGTACAAGTCCTTCAAGACTTTTTTTTACGTATGCATAGATTTCAGACTGCATTTAAAATTAGCATGGAGATGGAGCACATTTTGCAATAAGAAGCCACTATTTCCGGCCCATTTTAGAAACAACATACCTACCATTGGTTTCCCTGCGCAGATATGTGCTTTTATGGGAGAGCCAGAGATGGTGGTTCCTTATTGCAAAATATAATGCAGATATTCTGGATGTAAAATGGATCGCATTTAGCAAAAAAGAACCAGCGCGATTTCAGTGTATTCAAAATCGTGCGACTTCTTCTTTCTTTTTAAAAATACTTAATATGTGTACGGTATTAAAATGTACACACTTATTTTCCTTTAAAATAAACGTTTCTTTGGTGGGAATGAAAAAAACGTGCTATTCTGGGAGATTTTTCTGATAATTATGCTGAAGCAACATGTTTACAACATTGCAATCGCGTCGGTTCCTTTTTATAAGGATATACGCAACCCTTGAAGCTCTACTACAAAATAATAAGACAAACGGAAACGAACACGACATGCAAATAGAGCAAGGGAAAGGACGCGCGTTGATGACGGCGCAGAGACACAACTATTCGTGCTGGATGGATGTCCGTGTTGCGTTTGCAAAATTGAAGGCGCGATGACGCGAGGCGTGAAGTGGATATACTCCGCTTTATGCTACCGAAGAAGTTTTGCTAAGATATAAGAGAAAAACTTAAAAAAGAGTCCTTTCTCTCCTATATTTGGCTGACACTAGTTTTTATTCCTTGTCTTATTTGAAGTCTCAAAAATATAAATATATTATGGCGAATAATATTCGCATGTATACTCGGATTCTGAAACTTCCTCGCAGTAAATTTTTAACTGTGAGTTTCATTAAAGAAAAGCGTCTGAAATAAATATTCCCTCTCCTCCCAATCATCTCAAAATCAACAGTGTAATCGAAGTTACAGTATGTAAAAAAGTATACTAAGCGACTAAAAATACTACACCGTGAAGACTAGTCGCAGGTGAAGAAAGCTCTGCAGATGAGCTAGACTTGGGAGTATAAGCGCGGAAGTCCGGAGTTATGTAGGTTACACGTAAATTAACGCTCATCACGTGTTGTTATCGACGAAAATGCGCTCGGATTGTTTTGCTTTCGCCTGCAGAGCTTTTTCAAGCATTTTGCGCCCCGCTTCTCTCCCCCCTCACCACATCGTGACGTAAGAGCTTCGTTTCATGATACCGGATACTCCCAAAGCTTTTAAAACTTTCTGCAATTCCTGGTTTGTAATATAAGGTTTTAATCCGGTTCAAAATAACTCCTTCCTCTTTTTGGCACATTAATATAAAGCTGTTGGAAGAATAGCACACCAAAGGCACACTGGAAAAAATAAACACATTGGATCTAGAGTCTTGACTCTTGAAAACATTGACAAGAAAAAATACTCTTGATTCAATCGGATTTTTGCTTGAAACAAAACGAAATCCGCTTAAATTAAGAGGCTTGGTTCTTGATTTAAGCTAGATTCTGATTGGATCAAGAGTACTTTTTCTTGTCGATGTTTTTAAGAGTCTGGACTCTAGATCCAATATGTTTTTTTTTTTTTTTTTTTCCAGTGCAAGGCGCGCATGATCGATTGGCAATATTTCCCCATTTGAAGCTGTGGTGAAAAATTGACTATTAAGGTGTTCGTTGCGAACGCCCTGTTTATCGATCCTTTTCCATAGGATTTAATGGCAGATTAATCGATATATCGCAAAGTACGCCACGCCACTGGAGCACACCCATGCGACTGAGATGTTCCCGAATTTTTTTTGAGCAAAATTTAATTCTTATCTCAATGGTTGGTTAACCTTTAAATGCTCAGACCGGGTAAAATTGACCTACGACTTGCTAAAAACACGCACCCAGTTCACGCCTCGCGCCATTGCGCCTTCAATTTGGCAGACGCAACACGGACATCCATCAAGTACGAATAGTTGTATCTCTGCGCCGTCATCAACGCGCATCTTCCCCCTTACCATAAGTCCACATCGCGTTCGTTTCCGTTTGCCTTATTGGTTTGTAGCGGTGCTTTTACGGCTGTGTGCATCCCTATATTCTGTATCCAGAATATCCGTATGTTAATTTTCGCAGCATAGGAAGAAAAGGAGGACGAGAAAGAAAGAGTAAAACGCAGTCATCCGTTTTTGGGACCAAATCATTTGTTTACGCCGAATCCCCTGTGTAAACGCAAAATACACTTTTGAACCTTTATTCATAAATAAATCTGTGTGCTCACGAAATCACTTTGAAACACAATCAAAGTGTTATCAAGATGCGGGCCTAACCAACAATGAGGTAAAAAGTTGTAGAAAGGTGATGGAAATATTAAAGGGGAGAAAATCTATTTTAAAAATGTAAATATTTTAATTTTATTCATTGATTTTTAGGCCGCCAAATGTCTTATCTCGGCCTGTCTTTTTATCAAATGACTTCAATGCGACATGTTTTAACGTAAAAAAGTTTATTGTTCAAACTTGACAAAAGTCTGGCCTTTCGGCTCATTCATTACTCATAAACTGTACTTTTTAGACTGTAAAGTGTAGAAGTAAAATTATTGGACAGCACGTTCATTTTGCCTCGAATATTTAGACATCCTTTCCAGAAAGTTCTTCACCATGAACTCAACTAAATACAACACAGGAAAATAGAAAACCTGCCACATCGAACTAATCATCCAATATATTAGCAAAGATCAGAGGTAATATCGTCCCTGACTTAGATATAAATCTAGTTAAAAAGAACAGAACTTCTGTGTTCTCTCGGCATGTAACAGCCTTGTGTATCAATGTTCCCTGCAAGCCAAAGCTGTGAAACTAAACGAAATAGGTCAGTGAATTCAGCTTTTCAGCAAGCATTGACATCAGGCGTGGTTTTCCCGACTGCAATTGAATAGCAGGTTGCCAAACAGTTTTTTTCTGAAAGGAAACCCTTTTTTCGAACTCGGCTGAACACGTATCGAAAAAGTGCTCGGATTCTTCATGAATGATGATTTTTCCATCGTGCCTTAAGTTCGAAATATACTACTGAATGAACAAGTTAAAAACGAAAACGGCATAGGACACATTTCTTTCTCACAATTTTGAACCGAACCTTTGAATGAACTGACAAGTTTCAAAATCAACTCAATTGCAAGGAATTAGTGTCGTTTCTTCATTATGAGATCGGTAACTTAGACACTCCCCCCCCCCTCCACCGCAAAAGTACCGAAATTAATAAAGGGTTAGCCGATCCCATAAGGACATTTTTGAATTCCAGGTTCGAAAACAAGGTTTCAGGTGAATCACAATGGAAAAAAAAACACATTGGATCTAGAGTCTAGCCTCTTAAAAACATCGACAAGAAAAAGTACTCTTGATTCAATCAGAATCTAGCTTAAATCAAGAACCAAACCTCTTAATTTAAGCGGATTTCGTTATGATTCAAGCAAAAATCCGATTGCTTCAAGAGTATTTTTTCTTGTCAATGTTTTCAAGAGTCTGGACTCTAGATCCAATGTGTTTTTTTTCCAGTGCAGTCATGTTTGAATTTTTGAAACATCAAATATGCAGTTTGAGTAAATTCCGTCATGAATAATACATAGCTAAATGTAAGCACCTTCTCTTCCTCTTTCCTCCATTCCTTCCTTTTTTCATCCCCTTTTTTTTCGGATGAACGGGGGAGCGCACGCCCCCTACGCCCCCCTTGGATCCGCCTATGGCCCTTACGTCAGAGGAGCGTCGCACAGTGGATCGAGTCATTAGGAGAGATCGGACACAATTTGGAAACCTTAAATGCTTATAAAGTTAACCCCGTTCATACAAAACTTTTAGGTTCACCGGAAAAAAACACATTGGATCTAGAGTCCAGACTCTTAAAAACATCGGCAAGAAAAAATACTCTTGATTCAATTGGATTTTTCCTTAAATCAAGAACCAAGCCTCTTAATTTGAGCGGATTTCCTTTTGATTTAAGCTCAAATCTGATTGAATCAAGAGTATTTTTTCTTGTCAATGTTTTCAAGAGTCTGGAATCTAGATCCAATGTGTTTTTTTCCAGTGTTCTAAAAGTGGGCCTACTGGTTTCCTCGTGAAATTTTCTGCTGATCGCACCCCTTTGAAATTGAAAATGCGCCGAAATAAACATCAAAACTTACAGTTTTAGTCAAAAATTTCATGTCCGACCTCTCTAATTGACTCGATCCACTCGAAAGAGGAAGACTGGAAAATGCGAGATCCCGTCTGCAATTTGGCAATTTCAATTAAGCGAGCTTTCATTGTGTGATTGTGCAGGGTTGACGATCCTGGGGACTGCGGTCTACGGGGGCGCCATTCAAGCCGCCGCTTGTGATTTCATGGTCGAGAGGTTCGAAATGGTCCGCTGGATTTGGGAGAGCGTCGCCAGGGTGAGCAGCTCCAACGCCTCGTCGTCCGTCCGACACTGCTGGTTCTCCTGGTTCATCCTGGGCCTCTGGCCACTGGCCACTCTCACCGGCCTCTGTCTTCAGTGCGGTGTCACTGGCAGGGGCATCCATCACGAACAAAGTAAGTTTCATGCTTGAAAGCTGGCAACACTGTTCCTCCTTAATTTAACACTGAACAAAAAGAGGTAGGGGTTAAGGCCCAACTGTTGGATGATATGGACTTTTCCAATTAATCGTGGTAGTGCCTCAATTAATTGTGGTAATACCCCGATTAATGGTAGTACCCCAATGAATTAGGTTACAAACCCAAATGTTGCGGTACAACCCCAACTTAAGTTGCGGTACAACCAAAATTAATTAGAAATGTCCATATCATCCAACAAATTGGGGTAGTACCACAATTTTAGGGATAACCCCTCACACTTTTTTCCGTGAAATGTATGTAAAACAATCGATTCTTGGTGAGGCACCTTGCGTCACCTAAATCGACATTTTTAACGGATTTAAATGGAGGAGAAACAGCGTAGCCAACTTGCAAAATCGCCGCTGAGGTTTTTCAATTGAAGAGTTCGCCTTCTGCTGCGTCTACAGCGATTGCTGTTACGAACATGTTGTGCGTGCTGATTTCAGTTCATTGCATACTTGACTCTCTGAAGGCATTTTATGTGCGAAAGCAAATCGCCTTCAGCTGCGTCTGCAGCGATTGTTGTTACGAATATGTTGTGCGTGCTGATTTCAGTTCATTGCATACTTGACTCTCTGAAGGCGTTTTATGTGCGAAAGCAAATCGCCTTCAGCTGCGTCTGCAGCAATTGTTGTTACGAATGTGTTGTGCGCGCTAATTTTAGTTAATTACATACTCGACTCTCTGAAGGCGTTTTGTGTGCGCAAGTAGCGCATTCTGCTGGAGAAAGAACGAAGTATGGATTGAGCGATTCATTCAATTTCACTTTTGTCGTTCTCCAACAGAGGGTGCTCTACTTAAGCACACAAAACGCCTTCAGAGAGTCGAGTATGTAATTAACTAAAATTAACGCACACAACATATTCGTAACACCAATTGCTGCAGACGCAGCTGAAGGAGAATTGCTTTCGCATATAAAACGCCTTCAGAGAGTCAATTATGCAATGAACTGAAATCATCACGCACAACATATTCGAAACAACAATTGCTGCGGACACAGCTGAAGGCGAATTGCTTGTGCGCAAGAACCGCCTTCGGACATAGTCCAGGAATTATACGACAAATTTGACCAGATAAGGGAAAATATTAATAACAAGCTGATTTTTGGCACACTGAATCCTTATGACCTCTTGAGCGTTTCTACTCCAGATATAGAAGCAGCTGTTAGTTAACACAAGATTGCTGTGTAACAGAGAAGAGTAATTGTTTGACAAGGAAGGAATGTTTCAACTTGTATATGACCGCACCTCATTTCGCGGAACCCCCCGCCCTCAATTCGTTGAAAAAGCCTTACCCGATAATAGCGATGAGGACTCTGCTTTTCTAAGCTAATGTGTTAACTAACAGCTACTTCAATATCTGGTGTAGAAACGCTCGTACTGTGGTTTGAAACATCGGTTCCATCGTAGGTTATTGGTTATTGGTTGGTAGCCAGTCCCTAAATAGAAGAGACAATATATCTCCCTACAACTACTCTACTCTAAACATCTATACTCAGTGCTAAGCAGAGATGCAGAGAAATGTTTTCTCTCCTGAGCAACTAGTTAATGCTCACAAACGGATACATTCCTCTCTTAAACACCAACTAGTTGCTCGGGAGAGAAAACGTTCCTCTCGAAAACAACTACTCAATGCATTAAGAAAAAGTACTTAAATTGTTAATCCCATCAGCTCCAAAGCTCCATTGCAATGGAGTAAAACTAACACTCATCCAATTATCAAACAGGAGGCAAAAGCTTTTCTAGAATCCATAGATCCTTTTTCAAACGTTTAAATAGAGTCAAAGATGTTCTTTCGGCTTCATCATCGCCTGCTGGAAAAAATGTCTGCATTTCTTCAAGGATGTCATGTCTCTATTCTGCTTTACGTATGTCTTTCAATTTTTTTTAGTCTTAGTGAGTCTGAAAGATTTGTAACTCTCTCAGTGTTTCACTTGGTGTAATAATTTCATTGTATCATTTGACCAAAATCTATAATTTAAAATCCTTCAGATCTTAGTATATCCAAAACTTCGCTCCTGCAATGACACCTGCGAATAACTCGTCGCAACTATTTGAACGCTTAGGTAGTGTTTGTTGCATGACCTCTGCATTGAAGGGGTTTTATTGGAGAGTTACTTGAGCAAAAACGTTCAATCAGCTCTCAACTGTGAGATACTGTGAAGGAAGGCACAAACACTAAAGATTCTTCATCCTTTTTGTCATAATATCTCTCTTATAACTTATTGACACAACTCAACTGTCCACCAAGTAATTGAAAATTCTCAAACGATGTAATTTGTTGACGACAATTTTTTTCTTGAAAAACTTTATGAATTTTCTCAGTGTTTCTAATTTGTTTTGATGACTAATTATTGTGAATTAGAGCACTTGTTTTTTAAGGTACGGAACCTTAGGCGCGTCTGGACGCGGCGTCCAGACGCCGATAAATCTGTCTAATGATTTTTGCGCGGGGACGGCACCTTAGCGGCGAAGAGACGCTGCGGAAAACGCCGCGCCGATCGAGGACGCTCCGATCTGTCGCGAACAGATCGGAGCGAAGACGCCGAGAAATTCCGCTCAGTCCGCTGCCTTTCCTACCGATTTTTGAATGTGTTTAGTTCGACAAACCCACGAATCGATCACGAAGGTCGTGAATTGATCGACAAAAGCCGCGAATCGATCGAAAATTCCGTGAATCGATCGACAAGAGCCGTGGATCGACCGACCCACCCGTGAATCAATCGACAAAAGCCGTGGATAGATCGACAAACCTGTGAGTCTATCGACAAACCTGTGAATCGATCGACAAACCTATGAGTCGATCGACAAACCTGCGAATCGATCGACAAACCTGAGTCGATCGACAAACCTGTGAGTTGATCGACAAACCCGTGAATCGATCGAATTACGTCGATTGGTTCACGTTTTGGTTTTTCGATCGATTCATGTCGATTGACTAGATACCGGTTTTCCTTTTAATTGTCAATCATTTCTCGTCTATCGATCCACATTTTTTGTCGATCGAATCGACACCCGTTTTTTAGTAATTTGTCCATCGATTGGTGTCGATCGATTCACGTTTTTATTTTTCGGTCGATTTTTGTCGATCGAATCCACACCCTCCTAAAAAAAGCGAATCAACGAAAATTCGAGAAATTGACGGCGGACAGAGCGGAAAAAATCCACGGATTCCGCTCCTAAGGTGCCGTGCTCCAAAATGTGCGCGTCTTCTCGCCCTCGACTCGGTAGCAGCAATTTCCGCCGGCGTCCAGGACGCCGCGTCCAGACGCGCCTAAGGTTCCGTAGTTTTACGCTGAACAATACAGAAAATCCTTCATTCATACATGACTAAAATACATAACGATAAATAATACATTTTGATAAATTGACCGACGAAAAGTTAGTCATTGTGTAAAAGGTCTCCATAGAAGTAAAATTTTTCTTTTGTGTTTCAGCAATTTCTGCAAAAAAAGCGGCGCGGAAAGCTGCACAGGTACAACAACCAAGGACAAAAGAACAACGAGCTGAAATGAAGCAGAAAAACTATAGGTATCTCTATCAAATTCGCACCGCTCACGGAGATATTATCAGTCAAGTAAGTAGCTTTAATACACTTAGAGAGCTAAATACATTCAATTCTTTTATATGCCCATGACTTTACATACTTCTCTAATCAATTCATATCTGGCTCAATATCCCAATTATATTTCAACAATATTCCAATATCCCTGGCCGCTGTCTCAAAATCTGCAGTCGCTGCAAAATGGTGCGAAGTGGCAGTCAGGGAAAGCTTGAAATATCACAAAATTTTGCGAAAGATCGGAAAATTCTTTTACTCGGAGAAAAAATAGGGCTGGGTGAGAGGTTCGTCCTCCGATAAAGAGTTTAGGGATTTTTACTCAAATCCAAGGAATTTGCCAATTTTCAGGGTCAGAGAATACTGATATTCTTACATTTGAGATCGTTCGCCACCCTGGCTTTCGCGTACAACACCATTTGGATGACATTTTGCAATTAGAAACCACTATCTCTGGCTCTTCACTGGAAAAAAACACATTGGATCTAGAGTCCAGACTCTTGAAAACATTGACAAGAAAAAATACTCTTGATTAAATCGGATTTTTGCTTGAATCAAAACGAAATCCGCTTAAATTAAGAGGCTTCGTTCTTGATTTAAGCTAGATTCTGATAGAATCAAGAGTACTTTTTCTTGTCGATGTTTGTAAGAGTCTGGACTCTAGATCTAATGTGTTTTTTTCCAGTGTTCTGTAAAAGCACCTTTCTGCATAGGGAAACCGATGGCATTTATGTTGTTTATAAAATAAGCCAGAAATAGTTATTCCTTAATGAAAAATTTAGTCCAATTTGCCCTCCCTCGGATACAAATTTTTACGAAACAATGGACTCGAGACAATGTTGACATGAAAAAACCAGGGAGAATCGATGGGAAACAAGGCAAAAAATACAACACTAAAAACCCGAAACGTTTTGACTCAAAACTGATTCATTTTCAGTCGGAAAATAAATTAACAAATTTCCAAGAAAAAACCTAAGACCTACTGCATGTCGGTAGCCGAGATCCGAGAAAAACCTACCCCCTCCCGGTGTAAAAACCATTTGCTTTAATTCTCGAATCGTTTCTTTTTTCCAGAATTACGTGCAAGCCCTCCAAAACAAAGGGAACCCGAAAATGGGAACCGGGATGACGAACGGGGAGAGCTCGACGCTGCAATCGGACGCGACACACGTGACGATCCTACCCGGAGAGACGGGATTGGCCGATGAAAGAAGCAGGGACTCCTTCGGGTCCCGTTACCGATAACCTCAACCCCCGAACTTATCTCTTGTATATTACGTTGAAACTTGAGCGCCCAACATGAGGAACTGACAATGGCGCCCTTGCATGTGAGAGGAATTTGCGAGTTCAGTACTATTTGGACCACGTTAAACAGAAAGGAACCAAGCCACATCAGCTATTGCCAAATTTAATCGGGCAATTTAATTTTTTACATGAAATCGGTTGTGCGGATTTTCTTGCAAATTTCAGTGAAAATTCTCCATGGTATGAAGCAAATTCCTTAAAATTTTCAAAGAAGTCCGAACAAACGTTCTCTAGTAAAAAAATTAATTGCCCAGTTAAAATTGGCAATAGCTGATGTGGATTGGTTCCTTTCTGTTAAACTCGGTTCATTTCATGAAAAAAATTGCGCGAGAAACACGATGCCGCCATTGGTTCTCTTTGAAATGAACTCCAAGGCTGAAAAAAGCTCTCAAAGTTGAGGCCGCAATGGAGGGGATATTCCACGCTACCCTAAAAGTTCACTTCTTTATCAAGTCAAACTCTTCATGCAAAAATAGGAGCAAATTTAACAGGGTTACCAAATTGTCTCGGGACTCCAAAACCGAAAACACGGTGACTCTGCAAATTTATTTGCTCCCCAACTTTTCATGAAAAGTTTGACTTGATAGGTGGATTCTCATCAGAATAGCTTGGGACATCTCCTACCCCCTCAATTTTGAGAGCTTTTGAAATTCCTGAACATTGAAATCAGTACCTATGAAGATCGCAAATTCCTGACACATACAAGAGCTCCATCTCTATTTAGATCGCCAGAATCTTTCATTATAATCCTTCCAGAGAGGATTGCGACTGCCTTACTACTATACATTGCCGGTTAAATTTTTACGATTTCACTTCACTTTAAAATGACTGGTTCAATTCTTATGAATGCGATGAGTTTAAATTCTGAATGAACCTAACAAAAATCAATTAATATCTCGATGGTGAAACAACCAGACCACTTACACCTCGTTTGTGGTGTTTGAAAATCTCCACTTCCACTTTTTTTCTTTTTTTTTTTTTTGAAGGGGAAGAAATCAACATCATTCCTTGCAGTTTTCACAGAAACTTTTTTTTCGGAGGGAGAAGAAAAATCACAGAAGTTTTCACGTCACGTAGGTTTCCATTTTAAAAAAAAGTATGACAGGAAGTATACAACGTCGCAAACCAACTTACGTGGTCTGATAGTTTCACCGTCGATTCTGTTTGCCAAAAGGACAGAGTATAATTCAGATCAAATGTAATGTAGATTACGCACCTCTTAATTGATGTTTTTTCGGTTCCATTTTGGCCTAATATCATTCTCATGCCCAACTTCACAAATATTTAAGACCATGACCCTATATGCGAAGTAGAAGTCTTATTGTCAGCAGTAATATTTAGTTAATGCTACGATTTAATGGCTTGCTTCCCGTAGATTTGTGTTGATTTTTAAACGATTATTTTATAAAAACGTCGAAAATATCTCAAATACTTTATGAAAACCTACATTTTACCTCCACCGTAATCTGGGAAATTCCAACTGCCAATGCTGTAGCTTTTATACTTCACGATTTTTTTATCTATTATAAGCCGCATGTAGGTGTTCAAGGCGACTTTTTTATTCAGGAATAATGAAAAATAGTAAAAAAGAACGATGAACGGCGCTGAGCAAAAGTCCAATTTAAGTAAACCGACAAAAATTATAGGTACGTCCAAACCAGTTTCATGGCAATAAAGTAATAGTTTATGCAAAAATTTAATAATGGAATCGGTTTTTTTCTTTTCTTTTCTTCATTTTTGAGATAACCCGGAAATACGCGCTTTAATACTTCGATTAGTTTACAGAAAATGGAAAGAAGGAGAAATGAATTTGAGACCCGTTTTGTCCCCCTTTCCCCTTTTAACGGTGCCTCAGAAAAGATGATATGTATATTTTACCTGTAAAGTATTGATTAAAATAATAATTATTTTAGTACACCATAATGGATATTTAATGCGTCTCTTATTTTGCAACATCAAATTAATTCATATTTGCGCTTAGAATACAAATGATAATTATTTTGAGATATCACCATTCTTAGCTTCCACAAAAGGAACATTACACATAAGGGGTGAAGAATACCCCTCAGTGACTCATTAGACTTAAATGAATTGAAGAGGTAATAAGCGTATATCATTTTGATGGCATTATCTGGAAAATCTTTGGTGACGTCAAAGATCGGTTGATTGTGTGTGATTTCTTATTGTTGATGGAAGTTCACAGACTCGTTTCTCGAATCCGACTTTTAAAAATTCTCTCCAATTTATTTTTTGGGGGAGAAACCAGATTTCAAAACGGTTGCTGCTTTTACAAAAGTAAAATATTTTGGGAAGCCTCTGCAGTGTCCCAGTTCAAGAGAAAAGTTTTTGAACTTTCAACAGCAATTTATCTTTTGGTTTAATTCAATTAAACACGGTCATATTGTCATTCCGATTGTTAAGAAATTAACATTTGATAAATTTATTCAGATAATGATGAAATCTCGAGTTCTCCAACTGGAGTTCTTCCATTTTCGACTGCTTGGAGAAAATTTGGTTCAACATATTCATTCCGACGTGGAAGAGCTTTGCACAATTTTTCTGTGAAACGGTGTCTTTCAGTCAATTTAGCTGTACAGAGACGAAAGATCTAAAGAGTCCTTATAGTTTTGTTATGTAGACGACATAAGAGCATCAAAAAGGCTGTGCATTTTATTTTTAAGTCTCTATGAATAATAAACGGTAGTTATAGTTAAATTTAAGCAGATGTAATTGTAACAAATCGGCGATGAGTGTGTCCGGAGATTTATCAGAAGCGGAACTTTTAATTTGTTAAGTCTTTCATACATCAAGTCTGTCTGCGTGTTTCTTCAGTTTTGGGGGTACAGTTGGAATGAGTTCATTTTTTTTTTATGTCAACCCTTTGGTTTTTTTGACTCGCAGTAAAAAATTAAGTGGTTTGAATTTTTCACCTTTTTTTCAGGTCGAACTGAATAGGTGCAATTTTTGAAGGAATGCCGGAAAACTTTTTTTCTAAATTAAAGTTAAACAACTTTAGTTATTGATCCGCTATAAAACCTGAGTAACTAGGAGTTAAGAATCGTCCCAATTTCACTGACTGACTCATCGCCGGTTTTCCATTAAATTCTACTCTGGAACTTTAATTGTTTTAAATTTACTAATGTAGGGGTAGAAGTAGAGTTTTTCAGAAGCTTTGCTCCTTTTCAAGTGTGATCAAGGTGGAAAGTAGTTTCATTTTAGTGTCAGCTGTTTTTCAAGTGGCTCAAAGTACATGTTCACACCATCTAAGATGTTATCTAATGCTACTCTAAAGTATATTATTAACTTCAAGCTGAACTTTCTTTTGATTTACCTAATTTTTTCTCAATGACTGTAATCGCTAATGAAATACATCATCTAATGACTTCATAGCATCAATAATACTTCAATATTTAACGAACTTTATGACCGCGCCTCGTTGAGGCAAATCAAAGAAAATTGTATGCCACAAAAATGAAGGCTGATACAAAAATAAATAGTTGAATGTTGAGGTCACAGTTTATATTAATTTGTCATCAAGTGTTACTTGACAGTGTCAGTCGCCGACTGCTCACCTTAACAAAAGAATTGTATATAATTTTTCAGTATTGATGTATAAAGGATGAAAGCATTTTGTACTATACCAAAGTATGATGATAATAACTGTTAGAGTAAACATAAATCTTGAAGACAAAAATTGAGGAATTATTCTTTATGGTGATTTTCTTGTCCTCATTCAGACGTCCTCAAAAATCGGGTGCCTTTATACCTTAATCATCGGAAAAACGAGAGAGTTTCAGCCGAAACTTTAGCTAATATTTGCGAACCATCTAAGAGACCCCGTTTGAACGCTTTTTAACCTAATATTGCGGCTTTAACCGCCAAAAATTGGTTTCTATAGGGCAAGAAAAAAGCAAGGATTTGAAAATAAGCTCGAAAATGCTAGGAGAAAGAATTAGACAGGAAATAAAATGTAATTCTTACTCTATTGTTTGGTGCTGATAAAATTTATTTGTTTACGATTCTTTCGGTCGTGTCTAAATCACCAACAACCTGTTCTTCCTAAAATCACCGCCATTTCATACGCCCGGTGTCATCAAAATGATTTCAGCAGCACAATTATTTTAAAGTACAAAATATTTGTTTCTTGTTTTCGTTAAATTAGGGGGGAGAGGGGAATTATGGTGAACTAAGGCATCTTTCGATGAACGGACATATGAGGCTTGCAATGCTAATTAGATTCTGCAATTTTTCTGCAGCGTCTGCAGCAGATGAACCCTGGTAAAAATTGGCAGTAGAATCTGTGTTCCAAAATACCATAGACCTACAGCCGGCTGTAAGATTTCCAATAGCCTCTATAGCCGGCAACACAATTTCTCATAGCCGATGGCAATTAAGCAACAGCCTGGCGATAACGTGAATGCTAAACGTTACTAATTACGGATGCTAGGACTTAGTGAGTTTTTGGGCTACCGCTCTCTTTTCGTGCCGTAGTATCTTGATTTATTTTGCGAGGAAAGCTCCGTACTTTTGAAGGATGCCTACCATTCCTAATATGTTGGAGCGCCTTCAATTTCGTATGATACTGTGCAATACCTCTGGTGTGAAATAGTTGCTTCAAGCGCCGTGGTGCGCTGCGGCGCGGCGCGTCGCGGCGGGCGGGCAGTCAGCGCTGAACGCGCATTGGCGCATACAAACCTAACAGGGATACTTCACGCATTACGCAATTCGTGAAGTATCCCTGTTAGGTTTGTAGGCGCCAGTGCGCCGCCGCTCCGCTTTGTGTCAGGCTCTAATATTTAATCTCGTGGAGTCAGCGCTTTTCAACTCATGACTTTGAAATGTTTGCACACTCTGTATGGATGATTCTCATTTTAATTGATGAAAAAAAAATATGTAGTAAAGGAAAATATAATGTGCGTTTTGTAAATATTAAGGTGATCTCGTACAAACTTAAGGATTTACAAAGCACACAAATGTCTACACAATTTCTCGTAGCCTTTTATAGCCGACGGCGAGAAAGCAACAGCCAGGCGATAAAGTGTAAAGCCCGGCGATAGGAACTATAGCCCGGCTGTATAATTTTTTATCGCTTCGTGTAGCCCGGCCGTATGATTTTTTCCACTTTCTACAGCCAGCTATACGATTTTCTATCGCCTTCCTCAGTCGGCTAAAAGAACTCCTATGGTATTTTGAAACGCAGCTCTTAACGCCAATTTTTACCAAGGAAATCCATTCAACTTACTTCCATACAATAGTGAGAAAAAACTCGGAGCAGATTAAGGGAAAAAGTCATAGCAGAACTGTGGGCTAAGTTACTTCCAACTGCTTTTACTGCATTGTACAATCTCAGCAGCATTGGAAGTCTCATATGCCTTTTTACCGAAAAATGTCTCAATTATTCAAAGCTGAATTTGTGCTGAAGTTCGGTGTAGCATGCAACCCCGAACTTGAACGCATGCAAACTAGTAGCAAGGTGTGAATGATCGATCATCGATATTTCCCCATATGAAACTATGGTAAAGAATCGATTATTGAGGTGTTCATTGCCAACAATCTGTATATCGATCCTTTTTCATAGGTTTTAATAGCAGATCAATCTATACATTGCAAAGCACGCCATGCTACTGCAAATCATCGATTTTGGCAGCAACATTATCAGTGCAAGTGCACCAGAAGAACTTTCAATCCCCTCCACCCTGCCTCCCCTCCCTCTCCATTTCCTCCCTCCTTCTCTATTTCCCTCTCGTTCCCCCTTTCCGATCCGTCAATGCTTGATTTACGACTTGTTTTGACTCATGAAAACACCGCATGGTGGTCGATCCCGTTCAGCCGAACGTGGTTCACAAGAGGTCCTGCGTAGAGCCTCATTTTCATTGGGTCTTGTTTGTGCGTGAGAATTTCGCACGATTTTTTATTTTTTATTTTATCACCTAATTTTAGCGCTTCGAGCTCAATTTCGTCCGAGCCCACGCTTCCGCTGGAAAAGTTCCTTCCACGCTGTCCACAAATAGAACGACGTTGAGTCTAATTTGGAATCGAAGTCCTAGCCAGACTAAAAGAATTCCCGCGGATGCGTCACGGGGCCTCAGCTGGTCTGGAGAAGGTCAAGTTCTGACGAAAGTGCCGACGTCGACGGGAGACGCACATTTCGCCCCCCTCTCCCCCCCCCCCCCCAGCCCTTCCCTGACGAAAGAGCGTACCTCAATTTCCACGCGACCCCCATTGCCCGTATAACTCCACTCTCGGAGCTCACGTGGAAATTGAAGCACGACCTCACTTGAGAGGAATTTCACGATTACGAGATTTTCGCGTGCAAATTAACAATATGAAAATTTTAAGAGGAAGATTTCCATCGTCATGCTTATGATAAAGATTGGGAAATTCGTATTTCCAATTGCAACATCGCAAATCCCCGCTTATGTTTTACGAAATGACGTTAACCGAGGTTTTTTTTTTTTATATATATTTTCTGTGGATTTTCTAAGCTTATTTGAAAATACACTGGGAAAAAAACACATTGGATCTAGAGTCCAGACTCTTGAAAACATTGACAAGAAAAAGGACTCTTGATTCAAGCAGATTTAAGTTGAAATCAAAAGGAAATCCGCTCAAATTAAGAGGCTTGGTTCTTGATTTAAGCTTAAATCTGATCGAATCAAGAGTATTTTTTCTTGTCGATGTTTTCATGAGTTTGCGACTCTGGATCCAATGTTTTTTTTCTCGGTGTACGGTCGAGCCTTTGATATTGGATTAATCAACTTCCGCATCATCCGACACCGTGACAACGATGCACTTCACACAAACTAGGATATGCAGTGCGGGAATGGACCGAAAACTGACAATTATTTTGGTGAACATAGTCTTTTATTTTGAAACATTTCGGTAGAGATACACAATTTCCGATTTTGGACATACTGCATTTGTAATCATCAATACGACCGGCCAGGCTCATTAAAATAAGACTAAACATAGAAATATACCAGATCGATGTTTAAAGTTCATCAAATATGTCTGGATTCATCTTTATATTTCAAGTCCCCCAGCTCAGCCTGTTGAAAAACGAAAAACTATTCAACGTTGTCAGATATCCAATCAGAGGAAGCAAAAGATCCGATGTTTTTATAACTGTCAGTTGCAAGGCCTCAACATTGAGCTGAAAAATATATTTACGAAAATTTGCAATGAAATCTAGCAACTTCAAGCTTACTCTTTAACGACGGTTACATTGTAAGCTTCCGAAATTTACCACTCAACACAACACTAAAAATGCCTACGTTCATTAAATGATGCAAACCGGAAAGGAAGTAAGCAAGGAGGACTTGGCTCTGCGAGCAAGTGATTCATCCGATCCAACTCATCAGCGATGAGTAAGATCATTAAAATTACACAATTTATCAAAAATATTGAAGGTTTTCTGCCAGGTATGCGGCATTTGAACGATACGATCACATAATGTGTTTAGAATTTACTGCCTTGCTGGCCACAATCCAAGTTTTACTTTCTTTCGGTGACAAAGTGAAATCCAGTTGCTGCATTTGTTACACGCTACTCTTAGAAAGGACGCTCACACTTATTTACTTAGCCTAACATTGTACCGATAGGGATAACTTTGTTCCTCTGTGGGATTTATTTCCTCTAGCGGGCTAATCCTTCCTCATTTACGTAAGAGTCAAGCTGTCATCGAAGACCTAAATGCTAGCTATTCTTAAAATTAACGTATTAATGCTAGAAGGAAAAATGTACAAGTGCAAATTAAATTTAAAGGATTTATGAGACGCGCGAATCCCATGTACAAAGTTTATTTTGGTATAATGCATGTGCACATTGTTCCTTCCACATGAATACGTTCAAGTTAAGGTAGTCGGGCAAGCGATGCACAAAGTTTCGCAGTTACACCACTAATTTATTTTTTACTAACAATCCGACTCATAAAACGCTTACGGTTTGAATGTTGCAGTTCAAAAACAGTTAATGGAGAAAAAGGTTTTTGAAATTTCGATCAGGGCTGGATTCATCTACTTGCCGCCCGTGGGGCGCCTGTATTTTGCCGCCTTCTTCTCATTCGTTTTAAAACATCAATAAAAACCATCAAGTGAACGTGCAGCGGGGAGGGGTGCATAAGACGCGTTTACTCGTGTCGTACACATTTTTTGCGAAGCCCTGTCAACATTACCAGCAAAAGTTCACGGAACTTTGCGCGAAAGTTAAGTTCCGCGAACCCATCTCTGTGTGAACAAGGCTTTCCATTTATAAGAAATGGACGAAAAAATTATGAAAGAAGAAACTGACCGCACTGTGTTTGACGCAATGCGTGAAACATTCCTACAGTCAAATGGGCGCTGTGCGTTTCACACCGACTGCTTCTGAACGCACTGTGTTTGACGCAATGCGTGAAGTATTCATGCAGTCTTGTAGGCGCTATGCGCTTCACGCCGACCGCTGCCGACCGCACTGTGTTTGACGCAATGCGTGAAGTTTGTCTCTGGCCGCGCCGCTCCGTTGCAGGTTGAATTGCGTTTTTGGTTGCTCTCTTGACTCGGCTAATTAAAGGTGTTGTCTCTTGTATCACCGAAAGACGACAAAATTAGAAATTACTATACTTTTACCCTCAGGAAATGAGAGATTCTGTCGCCTTTTCTGGTTTGTAATTTATTTTCTGAATTCGATTTTTTCCTCTCTTTTTTTGATACCTGCATTAAAAAAATTGAAAAATTTGCCGACGCCTAAATTTGCCGCCATGGGCCGCGGCCCATGTGGCCACCCCCTTAATCCGGCCCTGATGTCGATCTACCATAATTGGAATTCAAATTTATCAAACTCTAGTGAAATTCGTGTGCGCTCTTTATCGTATACAAATGCACCGAAGGAAGTTTTGGCACATACATTTTCATACTTGCCTCACATGATAAAACAAACGGCACGATCATGCACTATCCGAAGCAAATTAAATTTTAAAAAAAAAATACTTATTTTTACAACATACAGTCCTCTTGTTCTTCTAGATTCAAGAGAATGTCTTCGTCATAACTCAAATGTCCATTGTTCGATCCGCAATTTTTCAAAAATGGGTCCCCTGAAATTGTGCCTGCACGCACTGGGGATCCCTTTCCAATATTTAGCACTTTGTCGTTTCCCTCACGAAAGAACGTAACTGCATTTTGATGTTGCCAAATTTTCCCTCCCTAACTGCACATTTAACCACGCGAATTTTGAGCATTTCCAACTGAAAATTTCACTAATCATCATCTTTCCACTATTTTGCAGAAAGCTGAAAAATTTCGGGTGCAAATTACTCAGGTACTTCCGACAAATATCTTGTAATACATTGAAGTGTTTTGAGTCAGTTTTACAACCTTTGAATTGAGTTACGTTTCTACTTCCCGAAAACGACGACTTATGCTGCCGTACTGAGGAAAAACGCCGCATCGAAATTCGAGAGTTTCCAAATATCCCTGATAAAACGTGTATTATTGACAACATTCATGCATATTTTTCCTTGCAATTTTCAGATATTTTAGATCAAACTGCCTACAAAATTGTCTGAAAATTTTGGAAAATAATATTCACAATTTACCCAGTAAATTCGGTTTTAATCGGAGGAAACTTTGTAACGCCTGAAAGCTCATACGGCGTTCTTCCTTAGCACGGCAGTATGGGTGATTTCATCAGAATATTTTTTTTTTTTTGGGGGGGGGGGG